TAATTGTGATAGTGGATTGGCAAGTATTGCAGATCATCAGAAACAGTAAGATCAGAGTCACACATGGATGCAACTGTTGACCAACCAGCAGTGCCATGCATGACTAGAGATTGTAGAAATCTGTGAATGCAGGCACAATCCCAATCAAGTGAATGCTTTTCTTAGCAATTCCACCTCTTGTATACAACCCATCCATCTTGTTCTGGAGAATCCTTCCTCTCAGTACTTAAAGGGACAAGTTGAGAAGAATTGTCTTCCTCTTTTCCTTCCATGTATTGTATGATCTGAACTCTTCTCATGGCAAATCTTGATCTTTGGAAGTCTTGATCTGGATATAATTCTGTGAGTAACAAATCTTTTTTGGTTATGTAATAAAAAGTTCAGGCTATCTTCTTTGATAGTCTTTACTGATTTTAGTATAGCATAAGAGACTAGGAATGCTTTTATGGTGTTTGCTCCAGAATCAGATTGCTTAAAACTCTAAACATCTTTGAATTCCACAATTTGGAATCTCTTGCCCTTCTATATTAAATAGATTTTATTTGTCAAATGTATCCATTTCTTGCTTTGAGAAAATCAGTGCAGTTTTCATAGCATGCTCACACTTTTTTTCCTGTTAAGAACCCTATTTATGAAGGTCTGACTGAGGGCTATTGAATGGGCCAAGGTCACTGTGCAAGCTCCAGGGATGAATGGAGGATCTGAACCTCTCAAATCTCACTTCTCCTGAAGGTACTAATAATAGAGTAGTAATTGCAACTGCATGAGGTCTTGCTTCTGGGAATTTTCCAGAACCAGAGTAACACCTTTGAGGGCAATTTTCAGTGGGAGAATATAAGGAGAAAAACAAACTCCCTTCCTGTGTTGTGTTCTGTAGAACTGCTGTTAGTTTAAAAAAAAAAAAGGGGGGGGGGAAGAGGAAGGTAAATCCCAGCCAGAAAATGAATTTAGCTTTGTAGACCGTCTCGCATATATTCATACTCATGTGGGAGCCATGATTGGCTGCAACTTTCTCTTGAGTGTTGAAACAGTAATCTTGGATTGGCCTCTGTGTAATGTGTGAAATGGCATAGGTGAAGGCTATAGGCTATGTATCACATATTCATTCTTCAGTGTGCAACTCCCTAAAAAAAGAATTACTTCTTTTTCCATGGTGCCAGCCTACTCCATGGCTACCTATTAGAAATTTATAGGTTGCTTCATTTCAGGCTGCCCTCTAGGGCTATGCAATATTTTAGGAAGCATCTTGTGTGAGCAGCTGTTTCCCCTAATATCCTTGGGACTATTGACTACCTTGAAGAGACATCAAAACTGCAGAATGCCTCAGTGCCTGCCTCTCAGTGATATGAGACCACATGGTCCCCCTGGGGCTGCAATTATGAATGCTGGCTGGCAAACTGCTCTGCGGCACTTCACTGGAATTGTTGGGGTCTCAGGGGAGTCCTGCACAGCACATTGCTCAATTTGCCTTGACAGGTGTGCTTTAGCTTATACAGCTTTTCTAAAGCATCTCATTCCTCATCTACAATGGTTTGCTCTTCCTTTTAATAAAGACTGTGTTATCTTCCATTGGGTAAGCAAAATTTGGTCAATCTCCTGAGCACTTCCTGGCCTAAACAGCATTCCATACCTATACTGCAACTGCACAAGGTCTTGTTTCTGGGAGCTGTCCAGAACTAGCCACTCAGATCTTGAGGAACCTGATGAACAGCCTTGCTTCATTCCAGATAGTGTCCATATATTGATGGGCAAAATTTTATATTTTAAAATACATTTACTGATGTGCTGTAATCTCTTTAAACAGTGAATTTCTACTCCTAGAGGCTTCCAGGAGAGGGAATTCACTTTTTTGCCAGAAAACCGGCTGTCTAGGGAACCCCAGTCTGAAGGCTTCAAGGGCTGCAAACACAGCATTCCAGGCCACATGGAGTGCCAAGACCTCACTTTGTCCACCGCTAGTCTAGAACAAATCCTGCCATTTACTTATTTTTTTATTTTTACTTGGCTTGATAGTATAGTTGTTGTCTTGGTTGGGAGATCTGGGGATTGTAATCCCCACAAGTAACATATTTCCAAGCTCTGATAATCATTAGCATCTTTGTTCCAGAAGATGCTTTTCATCAGTTACATCACTAAGGTTGGCATCACATCCTGTATGGTGTCATGCCCTATTGGCCACCTCTGATCTCACACCATACAGAATCCTTAGTAAAAAATTGTGGTTTTTTTTTTACTATTGTTACTCATAAATTGTAATTCAGATATATCACTGAATGTAATGTCAATAATTGTGGCATAAACAATTAGCAAAATTAAAATTACACCTTTAAATTACAATATCATACTCACAGCCTAAATGTATTTACATGTATATAGTTTGATGTGGTAAAAATCAAAATTTGGTAAGAGCACCACAGCTCATTTTTGCTAAAAAGCAGATGTTTGTGGAGCAGTGGTGTCATCATTGCTTAGGGTGTCACCTGGTGTGGCCCACCTCCCCGCACTCCACTAGTGACACTGCTACTTTCCAGTGTCTTTGGTAAGACCATCATTAGTTCTTCCTCTTCCTTGATACAGAAGGAGATTTATAGTTATGGTTATAGTTAGTGTCAATTATCCATGTTCTTCGGTATCACTCACATGTTTTCCTGTGTATGCTGATTGACACTAGGTTCCATGTGAACATGTTCCCTTTCCAGTTTTGTATAATTTAGTTGCATCAGATGTGTCCTTCTTTCCTACATTATTAACTTTGAAAATGTGTTGAGCACTTAGCAAAAATAAAAATGAGAAATTATGTTTTTTGCTAGGAAAGGTTAGCTAGACTCACTTCCACCCTTTCTCAAGGCACTAGGCAGAAAGTATATAACAGGGGTGGGCAACCTTTCCCCTTTAAGGGCCGAGGGACTTCAGCTCCCAGAATCCCAGGAGCTATTGGCCAACATGGCTGAGGCTTCTGGGAGCTGAAGTCCCTCAGCCCTTAAAGGGGAAAGATTGCCTACCCCTGATCTAAAGGATGGTAGTGGGATTTTGTCACTCATCTACTTGAAAGTTTTCTTCCTTTCCGCCTCTATTTTAACCCCTCTCTTTTCACCCTGAAGCAATGTCATTAATGTCCCTGCAAATCATCTTATGATGATGGATTTTAAGTGTTATGTTGGCTACAGAAAAGCAGCAGGATATGTACTCTAACAGGATCATCATTAGGAGGATGTGATGGGGGCTGTTGATAGTCAAAACACTGATTTTGATTAATGAGGAATAAAGATAAACAATAGTTCATCATGGCCTCAACACTTTGCCGTTTTCTTCTTCATCATCTAATTAATGGTATTTCGCTATCACTTAACAAATGTTACCCACAGATTGCCAACTAACTTACTTGAACATTTCAATTTAAATATGAGAATTCTTTTTTGCTGGATGTTAGTTTTCATACCTGCCTTTGCTCCAGTTACTGGGTAGATTCTCCAGAAGATCCAGTAACTACCAGACAGACTGTGAAACTATCTTTTCTATCATACTGTAAAATGGAAGAACCCACCAAGAGACTTTCAATCATCCTTTTGGTGATAGCTCAAGAGGTTCTTGGGAATTCTCACAACCAAAGCCCATCAATTATTGCTATCATCCAGCACTGACAAGAACATGTTTTATCAGCATTCTTATTTTGTCTGCAACCCCTTCACTCTTAAAACAGATTTCACACAATGAGGATTCTGAGAGAGGATAGTGATTGTTCATAATATCTTTGTTCAGCATTATTTCTTTCCCTTTCCCTTACTCTATAAAGTCACACACTAATCAAAATGGATAAAATTCAGGGGTGAGTACAACAATAACACCCAGATGTGGCTTAAACAGAGTTAGTGGTGGCTGGGGAAATGGATCAGATCCTAAGTAAACAGAATTGCAAATGCAGCTACATGGGAGTGGTCTGGGGGAGCACAAATATTTGTCCTAAGCAGTTACATCAAACAATAAACAACACTCCTTTCCACTCTTTCCATGGTACTCCATTTTTATCATCTGCCCACCCAAATCTGCATCAGTGTCCCTCAGTAGTGATGGAAACATGGTTGGAATCCATTTTCCAAGTGGATTTTTGTTCTTCCGATAAATGGACAGCATTGGATACAATTTGACAAGTTCCTTCTCTATTGTAGAAGTATGTTTCCCCTGTCCCCACAAACAATTTTTGTTCTTGAATATTGTTACATGGTGCCACACTGTCACATCGAAGTATGGTGGCTATTCTCAGAATTGATCATAACCATAATGTCTTTAAAGACATAGCCATGTTTGTCTGGAAAATCAATTTGCAAAGGGATCTTGCAGCACCTTTTAAGACTAACTGAAAGATAGAAGTTGGTAGCATGTGTATTCATAGACTTGAGCCTAATTCCTCAGAAGCATTTTAATTAACTTTATTGCACATTTTATTGTTTCTGTTTCTAATTCTTGGGAAGACTGCATTGACAGGTGGTATAGAAATATTTTTGATGGTAGTGGTGGTGGTGAGTACAAAAGTTTGTGTCTGTTTGAGATGCTGCAAGTCTATTCTGAAGTGGCTACAAGTGGGGTCAGCAGTAAATGTTGCAATACAGAATTTTCATGTCCATGGGCCAGTCACTGATATCCTTCTGTATGAAGGGATATAAAAATTACTGAGAATGAAAAAATTCAAATGTTTTCTCCTCACTGGACACGATTATGGAAATTTATTCACATAATTTCAATAATAGTTGATATTTCAGGACTTATTTGTGTTGGGGAAATATGTAGATTTTTAGTACAAAACCAATATTTTCTGCAATGTATTTTTATTACATTTGTGTCATGTTGTGATATAATACTTCTCTTGCTTTGTTGTGTGTGCTTTCAGATAATTTGTGACTAATGGCAACTCTAAGGTGGCCCCTTCATGAGCTTTTCTTCACATGTGGGGATTTGCCACTGTCTTCCCCTGAGGCTGAGAGCATGTGACCTAGTGGATTTGATGGCCAAGCTGGGAATCGAACCCTGGTCTCAAGAACTGTAGTTCAACACTCAAACCACTATGCCATGCCTCTAACAAAAAAAAAAAGTTCTGTTGCGTCTGCACAAAAGGACACCAACACAATTTGTATGGATGAAACATTGGCCACAGCTTTTATTTGTACAGGGTGTGACATATTTAAATTTCAATATAAACAACTAAATTTTTATCCTCAATTTACGTATCTCTTAAACAATCATCTATTTTGACGCATGCCCACGAGTTTTAAGGGCAGGCGCTATTGAATATTTACCTTTTTACAGGGCATGCGTCAAATTCTTTAACTTAGGTAAGTTCATATCCAAATATAAAACCCCTCCCCCACTGGATATGACGTCACATCATTTTATGACAAAACCAGGTTATGACATCATTAATTTTAAATATGACGTCATCAAAATT